ATATATAAACTAATTTAAAATAGATTATAAACATATACGAAAGAGTGAAAATCATACCACATAAGGTAACAAATCAAGTTAAAGTCAAAAGAGTCAAAATTGACATAATTTGCCGTAACATAACATTTTATGCTGCAATATAAAATGTAAAACCCATGACATGCTGTCATGGTAAACTTTCTAACCAAACTTTTGATGTACCTCAAATCTTCATTTGATTTCTAATTTAGGTGATCTAGGTGTTCATAAAAAGTTCTTTCAAAATTCTAACTAATGGCAGTGATTTCATTTCCAAACTCTAATTCAATCACAAATTAGAGTCCCAAATGCAAACTAACATATTTTCACTCTTAAACTACAAGCCATGTGTCCAAATTTCACACAAGTGACAAAAGCACAACCCAACACCTAGACTATACTCTATAGACTTGAGACAATCTATATAGCACACCACAATAACTAGATATCACATATTTCACAAATTTAACCCTTAACCTCGAACTCATCAAAAGTAAAGAGGGAAGCATTTTAACATCAAATCTTGCAATCTTCAATTGTAATCATCTTAAACTCAAAGGCCATACTTGCACCAATATTTTGAGCCTTGTTTAAAAGTAAACATAAACAATGAAATGGTGCAAGAAATATCAAAATATGTATTTTTCTAGTTAGCATTATTAAATTAGTTATGCACACACATAGAGATAAAGAGGCCTACATTTCTACCAAAAAAATAAATAAAGAGGCATGCATTAAAAAACAAGATTCTTAAGCCTTTAGTGCTTTCCTTTTGTTTTGACCGAAGCTAATGCTTGTAAAATGTTAAACGAAGGGTAAGTATAATCACTTAATAACCAAAGTATATCAAACCTATACTAATGCATTTTAATTAATCATAATGATATAAATGATATATTCAAATGAAACATATTCATATATTAAACCACCCAATTCATATTATTAAAAAATTAACAATTATATAATATTAGATTATTTAGCATGGAAGGGTCATAACACTAACAATCATGTTCTCTTTATAAAACGTGTAAGATCACAAAAGTAACAACCATGTACCATATAATGATATGCATGATTAATGACAACCTTACACCCTCTGAATACCTCCAACATGAAATTGGTGGCTATTTAGTAGGCTACATTCATGAATTTGAACTATCTAAGCCTTCCACTGGTGAGGAGCTTCTTATCCAAGGCTATTATTCTCACTTGTAAATCATTATTTTCCCCAATACTAATAATTGTAATGTGTCGTAACCCTAAGCTAGTCTCATCATAAACTAGTGAAAACTAGTTAGGTTTAAGTCTCTCGAAAAATAAGTGGGACAGTCCTTATACAATAATGTGATAAAGACTACCTCTTGATTCTAATGATTGACAGTCTAGCTAGCTTTTGATTCCAACGATAAGCCACCAACACCATATGGATTTATCACTATTTCTCTCCCTAGGCAAACTCCCACAATAAATTATAATTTCATGCATAAAATCATCATAATTAGTATGCAATTTATCATCATCATTTTCATCATAATAACACAATCATCATATGTTTCTCGCATCACAAATTAGCACATAATTTCACACTTACTTATAATTTTCTTTACATAACTTCACATAACTCATCAATTTACCATCATCTTGTATGACTCATTTGAGACATGAAACAACTATAAGTTTTGCTTTAATTTGTCTATATCACAACAACTATTCCATTTGCAAGTTCATACACATTTATTTTTAATATCTCATAAATTATAATATATGATTTTTAGATATTTCATGCCACACTTGCATGAAAATACATTCACATATCTTGACAATAGTTTATAAAAACTAAGTAACTAATTAACACGTAAAAGTAAAAGTAAAATTTCCTCCTGCTACTTCAAACTTTTGAAAGGTCAAAAGTTATCCCTTAATCACAACTTGTTTTTTAAGCTAAATTCAAGCTCACCAGTACTTTATGAGATTAGTCTATAGTTAGCATTAATATCCATCACTAATAATTATTAAAATAATCATACCTCCAACATCTGATGAGTTCATTAGCTCTTATTAATTTTATTTAGCTCTCAACAACATAAATAATTGTCAATATATCATCTAACAATCCAAAATTATCATCAATGTCACAAATTACTCATTTTAAACTCTTAAATTTAAACACTTTAATCACCTAAAGCTTTCAACTCCTGAGTTTAATCATCACATTAGATTTATTAATTTCTATTAACTTTAACTAATTTCATTAAACCCATCTACCACTATTAGTGGCTTCAAACAACCTAAACTTTCATAACTAATAGCATTTTAATGCACAAATTCATCCATAATTGAAAGCCCATTCTTATAGGCATATAAAACCACTATTTATAAGCATAGATACTTCTAACATCTCCCATTAACTTCATTTAAGTCAATGGACTTGGACCCAAAGTTCTCGAGGTCTAAAAATATCCTCTAACTACAAATTGTAACTTAAAAATGGTGTTGAGAGGAAGAGGAATGGTAAGAAAGGCTTACCTTAGTGATTAGAATATTTAAATCTCCCCAAAACACTAGCAAAATCATGAGCCCTTCATTCTCACCTTTTTCTTTTTGTTTTCTCAAATGTACATGCTTTATTGAGTATGATTTTCAATATATGCACAATAAGTTAAATTTTGATTCTCCCTTCAATTTAAGCTCGAATGGTCCAATTCATTTTTAAACTCAATCTAATAGTAAAAGTTAAATCCAATAAGCTTACTAACCGTCTCTAACCATCTTCAAACTTAATTATATTTAAATTTAAATAATTATCCTTCATTAGCTTAATTAATTAATGAAATAATTTTTAAAGTGTTACATCCTATATTTGTACGAGCCTAGTGTCTTTTTATAGTTTGAGACCTCAATCCCCTTTTTTGTAATTCTTACTTAAACATTTGGGCCCTGCCCTCTCTTTTACCATTTTTTTTTAAACTTGTTGAGATGGAGAACTTGTTTTGAGTTTGTTTAAAAGTTTATTCAATGATAAATATAAGTATTTGTTATTGTTATTTTAATTTATATACAATGTGAGCTACGTGGGTTACGTGTCTTTTAAAATCTTCTTCTATTGTAAATGGCGTCCACGGCTATTATAGAACTTTAGTGATAAGAACTTGTTTGATTTTGTATTCATTTTTTATTTTTAAAAATATTTTCTAAGCTACTTTTTTAAAATTGTTTTTAAATCAAAACAAAACAAAAATCTGTTTGATCATGTTAATTTGAAGATAATTTTAGAGTAAAAAAAATTGGACAAATAGTGGTAGTAGTGACCAATGATTAATGATTATGGCTTATAATAATGATTGGCTTTGACAATAGCTTGTGTTAGTTATGATTTAAAAATTTAAAAAGGATCAATATTTTGATTGACTTTTTATAAATATGTTTATATAACTTGTACTAAAATATGCTAGAATACTAAAACATAATATATTTTACCTCTATCTTAAAATAAACTATAAAAAAATTTGTATTCCACAAACCATGCTGTATTGCAATTTGTATGTGATAACTATATATTGGTGGTGCTTTTTGGAATTCATATACTTGTATGTAAAGGCTCCAAGAATGATTTACTCCAATTTTATGAAATTCGTTCAATTTTTCCACATTTTACGGTAATCTTTTTAAAAATAAGATCAATATAGTAATCTATGTTACGTTATATATATATATATATATATATATATGTTGTTGTTGTTGTTGTTCCATAGGTGTCCTGAGTAGTCGGGCAATAATGCTATTTCATTTGAGACAAATTTGCCTGTCCTGGTCCTAATTAACATGACGACCCTCCACAATAATTAGTTAATGTACATTTTTTTGGGCAAAAAAGAATTCATTTACTCATTAACCTAGGTGCTGCTTTGCAAAGCAAAACTCATGATTCAAATCAGTTGATCGCGTGATGCTTGCGGCGCAAAGGAATCGCAATATTCAGTTTGTTTGAGCCTGAATGCATATGGGGTATGGGCTGTACTTTAGGCCCAAAGCATTAGGCCCATTTTCAGAGAAGCATGGAATTGGATGGACATTTCCGATCCCTCTCCAAACTACACTCCCTTTACATTGTGAATTGTCGCGGGAAAGATGTGTCATTATAATGCTTGCATTTAAGGTAATTATTTTTTAATAAATATATTGAATTTAATGTTAATATATTGTGAATATATCTTTCAAAAAAAATAGTAATTAAGAACCTTATAAAATTATTAATTATAGTTAAAGACTTTAAATTATTAAAATCTCAGTAATGAATTATAATCTTAATTTAAAATAAAAAATATATATGAGTTTAACTCATAAAAAACACATACCAGTTTACAAATTTACCATCACTTGAAAAATAAAAAAAATACTATTAAAATTATTATGATAAATTATAATTATTGTTAATATTAATTTTAATTGAGAAAATCATGATTTACACTAAAAAATGAGTTATTTTTTAATATAAAACTAAAATTTATTTATAAAACTTTTAAAAGACACTTATAAATATAGGGTAGTAATTAAAAAATTTACTAAAATTAATTTTAAATATAAAATTAATTATTTGTGAATTTTTTTACTTGTCAATGTTAATATATAGATAATTACTTAAAAAATTTAAAAAAAACTATTAAAATTATTATTATGAATTAAAATTTTTGTTCATTCTATTTTTAAATATGAATTTTAATTTTTTTAATTGAAATTAATAATAGTTTCAAATCTCGACACATGATAATAATAATTTTTGCATTAGAAAACAATTTTATAAACTCATATGTATTTTTTAATTTTAAATAATGACTATAATTTATTATTAAAATTTTAATAATTTAGAATTTTTAATTATAATGAATGGTGTTATAAGATTTTTAATTGTCATTTTCCCTGTCTTTTATTCCAAATGATAATTAACGTTCAAATTTTCTCACCTAACGTAAAAATGTTGTATCTCATTCAACTTCAATGTTGAAAGGAGCTGAATGCTAACGACCGCGGGTGATTATCAGTCCTTTTCCCTCCCAGAACAACGCATTTCCAGCTTCTTCAATTCGCTTGCATCACTGCTCTCTCAGTGTCTCTGGGATTTCTAGGGTTGCAGTTCATGGCTTCTTCTGCTCATTTCGACGATGTAAGTCTAAGAATTCGCCATTGCTCTTACTGAATCTCTCGTATGGTTTGTTCATCCATGTTCTTCCAACTTAATGTTTGCTTTTCTCAAGCGTAGGAGTTTGATTTTGAAGGCGGATTTGGAAGGCACTCAGGTTTTTCGTCTTTGTCAGACACTTTTTGAAAATTTAATTGTATTTTCCTATCGTATCGTTCTATGGAAGTGTAGGTGATAAGAGGTCATCTCCGGACTACGACCATGAAGATTATGACGGTGATCCTTTTGCTCCTAAGAAGGTTATCGTCACTACTACTGTTTATATATGCAGCGGACATTTATCTTGATCGGTTTTTTTCGGTGCAAGACATTTATCTTATTTTTCACTAAATAATATGGATATAAGCAAATTTGAGGCGAAAATAGAACAATAAGAACATGTATGGTTTCCATGGAAGGTGGAAAGGATGATGCGCGCTGTTCTTCCCTGATATGAGTACTTGCTAATGAGAGGTGTATAAATTGTATTTGAAACACAGAATTTGTTTTCCTTCAATGCAGGCCAAATCAAAAGCTGAAGAAGCTGCTCCGGGTGTCACTACAGGAATGATTTTGTCTCTTCGTGAGAGGTATGTTATAGCATTGTTGATGTGGAACATATTGCTGTGCTAAGGTTGTAGTAAATTATTTTAGTCTAAAGTTTATTTTGCCACTGTTTTTTTGGCAGTCTTCAGAGTTGTAAGGACACGCTTGCAAAATGCCAAGTAAGGTTTCCTTCTAACAAGTCCATGACATTATTTTCTTGTGTTTGTTGTATTTTTTTAAGAAAGATTCTCACTTTTGATCTTTGAGATAAGTGGATTACTGTCTTATTTCATTGATCGGATGCTGATCGGTGCCCTTTATAAAAGCTTCATTGTAATTTTTTGACGTCAACAGTACAAATTATTTTGGAATATGTTCAAGTTTGTGCAGGATTGAGAGTTGTCTATGTGTAATGGCTTAAAGTTCATATGATAGTCATATTTGATGCTAAAATATACCTTTTTGGCCTTTTCATTTCTTCAAAATGTTTACCTGGTCATTTCATTTTCCAGAATGAATATGAGACAGCAAAATCTGAGATTCAGAATTGGCATTCTTCATTGCAAAATGAACCTTTCTTACCCACTGGGACCACTCCAGGTCAGTTTGTACCTGTTTTGTTTTAACTATGTGACATGTATTTATTGTTCAAACAGAAGCTCTTTTGTTCTCTATTTTAATATGTAGCTGAACTATTATTTTGTCTTTCTTCTCTCTAGAACCCAAGATGGTGATTAATTATCTTCAGGCCCTGAAATCATCTGAAGAGTCTCTGAGAGAGCAGGTTTAGATTCTAGTACTTGTGGTGCTTTAATATAAATAAACATCTATTTCCAAGGTTCCATTGACCCCATTTATTTTGTTGTTGGTTATCAGCTTGAAAAGGCAAAGAAAAAGGAAGCTGCTTTCATTGTAACATTTGCAAAACGTGAACAAGAGATAGCAGAGTTGAAGGTAATGTTTTTGAGATATTGCTTTTGTTCTTGGTAGCGTGAGCACTCATATTATCTTTTGGATCAATCTCAAATGCTGATGGAATCGTCTGCCCTCTTCCACTAAATCAAGATAAATTATGAAGTGAATAAGACGAAAGGGAGACTGGGATCATGCCTCCTCTCTTATTGTCCTTTACATGCATCTAAAGTAATAAAAAAAAAAAAAACATTGAGTCACCGTCTGCATGAGCTTCATTTTATTATTGGAATCATCAATGCTTTCCTTAAATGGAATTCTCATAAAATTTCATTATCATAAATCAAGAGTTCCTTTTCAGTTGTTATATCTCTTTTGCTGGCTAGTAGTTAAAAAGTGTTTGCATTGCTGACAAGTGGCTTGCCTGCAGAAAAGTTGAGCCTGGGTTTATTCTGTTTAGTAGTTAAAAAAGAAAGAAAGAAAGAACAGTCATGGTTAACGAGGCCTGAAATGACTCCTTAATTGTTCATAAGAGTCAATTCAGTTAGTGAATAGTGTAACAATATGAACTTATGATATATATATATATATATATCTTATATATCTTTAACTCCTTGTAATCTTGAGTTTCTCCTTCTGTTAAACTAGATATGCCCCTTCAACTTCTGCTGGGGTGCTAGCTATTAAAAAGTAACGGCAAAAGGTTAGAGGTGAGGGTTTTGAAAATAATTAGCTAGATAGAGCCCTGAATAGCTTTCTGAGTTGCAAATATATGGCGTGATTTAACAAAAGTTGTGTGAAATTCAGAAAACTTTCTGTTACTTGGTTTTTGCCATTTTAACCTTGCCCATATCAGTGTCACAAGCCTTATCTGGACCTGAAAGCTCAAGACAGCTAGCACTTTAATGAAATCAATCACTGATTTTCATGTTTTTTTCATTTTGGTGGTTGTAATGATAATGAGTGTCTTAAGATTTCAATATTTTTTCAGTCTACTGTACGGGATTTGAAAGCACAACTAAAGCCGCCATCACTGCAGGTATACTGTGTGTTTTCTAGTAATATATTTTTTAGCCTTGTAGAGATTTAATGTTCTTACTTGCATATATTTCACTGTTTCCATTCATTGTATATCACTGCATCGTTACTTTTGAAGAACTTGTGTGCTATGCTATGTGATTCAGTAACAAATCAAATTCTCAGCATGGATGTAAGCTGCATCATTTACCAGTCCTCAATCAGCTTGAGTTCTGCTTATTATCATCTTTGGTAAACAAATGTTGAAGGTTTTTCATTGGAAAGAGTGGGATTATTTTTTGGAGTGGAGGGTAGGGACGCTAGCTCCCATTTGTGTGGCATCTGATGAATTGAAACAGAAGAGTGCAAAATCTTTTTTCTGTATTTACCTCTTTATCTTATCTTATTTCTTTGTGATTTAAACCAATTGCTTCTTGTTTATCACTCTGGTTTCTTACAGTCAGTTTTATAATGATAAAAATGCTAACTTATATGTATCAGTCTTCTTGCATGGTATCTTTTACTCTATCTCTTTCTTTTACTTATCCTAGCTCCCTAGACTTCAATGCTTTGGTTGTGGGTTTAATTTCCTTGATATTTGTTTTGCAGGGAAGGAAGTTGTTACTAGATCCAGCTGTACATGAAGAGTTCACTCGATTAAAGGTTTGTTATTAAAGTTGATAATGACTTATGCTTAATCAACTCTACTCTCTCTCACTAAGACATGCTTGCATTGGGATGTGGAGTTTATTAACTGTATTAATTTTGGCCCTAATAGAAAACGGTTAGTCTAAGCTATTTCTTTGGTTTCTTTTGTCCTAGTGATGCCTAAGAGTAATAGATTGTTACTTGATGAAGAATACTCCATTTACTGCAAAGCTCTAGTTTTATTCCTTTGTTAAGTATTGTTAGTTGTTACAAGAACCTGCTATTTTGGAGGTTAGAATATCAAGTGGAACCTCATTTAGACATAATGAAAAAAAGTGGCCAAGCTTCTTAGTGGGGAATTGTGATACAATGTTGGGGACAAAGGATGTTTGGTTAATTGTCTGCTACTAAGAACCGGAGCCAGAAAGGATGACTAACGGTGGCGCAGAGGGTGCTCAGATACATAAATGAGAATTTTAAAATAACATTTATGAGAATTGATTTGTGCCTTCAAATTCCAGAGACATATCCGTGTGCTTCGATATTCATGCTGTGTCCAAGATGTGCTTGTCATTTTACATGCATCACCATCTGATTGCGATGTCTTAGAGCCCATGTTTAACATTATCTTGATTTATTTTTCATGTTGGTTGAGGCAGGTTATCCATTGGTTTTAGTTTGGTTTTAACTTTATGTATGCATTGTTGATTACTTTTGAAAGGAAGTTCTTTCAAGAATTCTAATTTGATGGCAGAATTTAGTTGAGGAAAAGGACAAAAGGGTAAAGGAGTTGCAAGATAACATTGCTGCTGTAAACTTCACTCCTCAGAGTAAGATGGGGAAGATGCTGATGGCTAAATGTAGAACACTACAGGAGGAAAATGAGGAGATTGGGAATCAAGCTTCTGAGGGAAAGGTGCTGCTATATGATTTGCTTTTTGTTTCTGTTGTTTTATTTATTTTTTGGGAGTTTAATTTCTTTTTATTGAGCTGTTGGACATGAAAGGGACTAAATGGTCATCACAAGTATTTTGACCTGAATGTTTATGCATTATGGACATATATTAATGAATGCCCTTGATAGCATTATATGAAAATGCGTGTTCTGCCAATGAAAAAGTTGGGTGCGTAAGGGAAGAGTGTGATAGGAAAATAAGAAAAGTCATGTATTATTTAGGTAGTTGGTGGTTATTAAGGGTAGTTAAGTCATTTGTTATTTTTGTTTGACTGCTCTACTTAAAGCCTATAAATACTAGGTTCCTCTTAATTATAATTAGGCTGATAATCATAATGAAAGTGCATTATTTGGAAAACCCCCTAATTCTCTCTCAATTCCTCTCTGTTTCTCCCTTCTTCCTGAATTCTCCTTCTTCTCTCTTCAAATTCTATCTTACTCCCTCCGTTTCTATATATAAGGGAAAAAAAAACTATATTACACAGTTTAAGAAAATTGGTTAACCATAATGATCATGTTTGAAAATAAAAGAATTAGACTAAAATGTTCTATATTAATCAACGTAAGCATGTGTTAATTATTTCTCATTAATGTAAATTATGAGAAGTGATTTAGGAGATGTGTAATAAATACTTATTGAAATAGGTGATTTTGCTTATATAAAAAAAGTAAGTAAAAAGTGATAGTTTCTTCTATAAATAAAAACGGAGGGAGTATCTCTCTTCTATTCTACTTCTACCTTTTTCATATTAGTGGTACTAGAGCCTTTGTTCCTTGGCCACCCTCTTTTCTTCTTTTTATCATCTTGATGGTACATGGTGAAGACCCATAATCAAACCCAACAAGAGATGGAAGAAAGACTATATGAGATGGAAAGAAGACTTATGAAACTTGATTTAGTGGATACACTTGGCGAACAAGTTACGGGTTTGTCACAATAGATGGAAGCGATGATGCAAGACAGAGAAGAGTTGACCAATCACGGTTGATGCATTAGAGATGGCAGAAATGGGCATCATCGTTTCCATGAAGAGGATGTGAGACATAGAGAAGAGTATCGACGGCCCACCCAATCGACAAAAATGGAATTTCCCAAGTTCTCTCAGTCCGATGTGTTGGGATGGATCATGCGATGTGAGAGATACTTTGAACTTGATAACGCGCTTGAAGAAGAAACAGTGAAGATGGCATCAATCTGTCTGGATGAAGAAGCATGGTCTTGGCATACGGCGATGGAAAAGATCTACTTCGGCGTTACCCCACCTTGGGAGGTGTACGTCATCCTTTTTAAAGAAAGGTTTAGACCCACACACGAGATGCCAATGGGTGATCTGATGCAGCTGAGATAAAAGGGTTCTTTGGCCTAGTTTAATGATACTTTCGACTTCATCCCTTGTAAGCTGGATCTTTCACAAGAATATTTAGTCAAAGTTTTTATGGAGGGACTAATGGAAGAACTTACGGGTGCTGTAAGACTTTTCAAACCAAGGACTCTTCAAGAGGAATGTCTTTAGCTCGTATGTAAGAAATAACAATACAACATTTGGTAGAAAAGAAAACTAGTGGGAAGAATAGTGCACAAGTGTCTACATCTTCCAACACCCCCTTGTAGGTTCTATAGAACACTTGGGCACCTTACAAAAATGCCCTCCTAAATGGTGGGACCTAATAGAAAGGGAAGTTGACACTTGTAACCTAAAATAATCTTAATAATGTTGCTAAAAACAGCTCTAACTCTTCTAAAATCTTATCTGCAAAAGAGGAAGCAGAACACAGAAGCAAAAACTTGTGTTTTTATTGTCATGAAAGGTTCTCGCATAATCACAAGTGCCTGCAAAGGCAAAAGATGCAGCTTCACTTCATTAAATTGCTAGAAAGCCAAGAAGACCCACCGGTTACAAAATCTGAAAGTGATGAAGTTCTAGGGGAAGAAACACCCCTAATTTCACTTTATGCCATTGAAAGAATTGAAGGGGCTTCATCAACGAGGGTTGTAGGGCACTGTGGTGAGAGGCAGATTCAGATTTTGATAGATAATGGTAGTACACATGATTTCTTGGATCTGGAATTGGCTAAGATGCTTGGTTGGAAGTTTGATTGTTTAGTGTTATCTTGGGTAGAAGTGGTTGGATGAAAAAAATTACAAATCCATGGCATATAGAAAAATTTTAAGTGGAGAATGCAAGGGTTGGTGTTTGTTTTTTATTTCAGAATACTTGATTTGAAAACTTATGACATGGTTTTGGGTCTCAACTGGTTAAAAAGCATCAAAAATGCCTTTTGGAATTATAAGACCCTCACAATGTATTTTGGGCAAGGAGACCAACTATGCAAGTTACAAGCCACACCACCTAATTTGTGGATGGTGGTGCAGCCTAAGAGAATTGAAATAAAAGGGGAGAGAGATGAGCAAAGGTTTCTATTGCAATTGTTGAAATCCACAAAAGAGGAGGCCAATTGTTTCGCTGTTTTAGAGGCATTAGAAGGGGCACACAAAGGAATTCAACAAGTTCTAAAGGCTTTTCCTAATGTTTTTGAAGAGCCAAAAGGGGTGCCACCCATGTGAGAAAGTCATAACCATGCCATAGTCCTTCAAAAGAGGACTGACCCTATTAGTTTAAAAGCCCTATTCCTATCCTTCAACTCAAAAGGATTTGATTGAGAAGCTAGTGGGAGAACATCTACAATCTGGAATTATTCAAGAAAGTTCTTCTTTTTAAGCTCCAATAGTGTTAATAAAGAAGGATGGTTCGTGGCAGGTGTATTGATTACAGAGAGCTAAACAAAAGGAATATTAAAAATCAGTACTATATCCCTCTTTTGGAGGATACATTTGATGAACTAAGTGCTGCAAAGTGGTTTACTAAGTTGGATTTAAGAGCTGGATATCATCAACTTTGCATGGTACTTGGAGATGCTTACAAAATAGCATTTAAAACACATTTTGGGCACTATGAGTGGCTAGTTATGCCTTTTAGCTTGACCAATGTTCCTACCACGTTTCAGGGAGCAATTAATTCTATCTTTAGACCCTTTTTAAGGAAGTTTATTCTTGTTTTCTTTGATGATATCCTAATATACTTTTCTTCTCTTACAGATCATGTGGAGCATTTAACAAAGGTGTTGGAAATCCTAAGAAAAAATCAATATTTTGTCCAAAGGGGGAAGTGTACTTTTGCAGCAACCATCGTTGAGTATTTGGGTCATATCTTGGGAAATGGGACCATTTCTACAGACCCTAAAAAAGTGGCAGCAGTCCTTGAATGGTCAGAACCAGCCAACATCAAGCAATTAAGAGCTTTACTTGGCTTGGCAGGATATTATAGGAGCTTTATCTAGCATTATGGAGAGATTATAAGGCCTCTCACTGATTTGTTAAAAAAAAAAAAAACAGGGAATTCCTTGGTCTGATATAGTGACAAAAGCTTTTACAAAATTGAAGGAAGTATTGGTTTCAACTCCCGTGCTTGCTTTACCCAACTTTAATAAAGTTTTTGTTGTTGAAACAGATGCATGTGGTTTTGAGATTGGTACTGTATTGATACAAGAAAGTAGACCTGTTACTTTCTTCAGCAAGGCTTTGGCTCGTCGACACTTGAAATTATCTGTCTGCGAAAGAGTTGATGGCAGTGGTTTAGGCAGTTGAATATTGGCATCAGTATTTGGAGAGGAAGAAGTTTATTATCAAAATTGATCAACAAAGCTTGAAGTACTTATTGGGGCAGAAATTAAAAAGTCCTTTTCAAATGTATTGGATAGCTCATTTGATGGGCTATGAGTATGAGATTTGCTACAAAAAAGGAAAGGAAAATGCTGTTGTGAATGCTTTATCACAATTGCATGGACTTCAATTGTTGCAAATGGCACTTGACGCCACTTCTCCTGAGTTACTTCAGCAAATTAGGGAGAGTTGGGATGCAGATGTAGATTTGAAGGCCATAATTTCTGAATTGCAGAAAAAAGGAGGTGATATTGGCAAGTATGTTTGGGATGGACAATTGTCAAAATGGAAAGGGAAGCTAGTGGTTGGTTATGTTGCAGCTGTTAGGCAACAAATCCTTGAATGGTTACATGCTAGTCCACAAGGAGGCCACATCGGGGTGCATGCTATCAAAGGGTTAGAGGGTTGTTTTGGTGGAAGGGGATGCATAAGGATATGCAAGACTTTGTAAGAGAATGTGATACTTGTGCTCGTTGCAAGCATGAGACAACAACTATCCCTGGTTTATTGCAACCATTGCCTATTCCTAATAGAGTATGGGAGAGCATAGCAATGGATTTTATAGAAGGGCTGCCCAAATCTGGGGGTAAAGAAGTAATATGGGTTATTGTAGATAGAACGGGCAAATATGCTCACTTTTTGGCTCTTTCCCATCCCTTCTAAGCAGTTACCTTGAGTCAACATTTTGTGGATCATATTTACAAGTTATATAAGGCTCCTAATGAGATTATTAGTGATCAGGATCCAATTTTTATCAGTAATTTATGGAGGGAATTTTTGAAGGTGATCAAGGTTGAGAAGCTTACTTCTTCTTACCATCCTCGAAGTGATGGGCAATCTTAGGTGTTGAATCTTTGCTTGGAAACATATGTTAGCTGTATGTGTTGGGAAACTCCTAAGGAATGGAGCAAATGGTTACCCTTGGTGGAATGGTGGTACAATACAATTTTCCACACTTCAACCAAGACAGCACCCTATGAAATACTTTATGGACAAAAACCACCAATATATGCTCCCTATATACCTAAAGAAGCTGTGGTTGAAGCTTTAGATAGGAGTTTTGCAGCAAGAGAGCATATGATAAATGTTTTAAAGCATCATCTCAATAGGGCAGCCAACCGTGTGAAGCAAAAAGCTGATTTAAGAAGGTCTGATCATGAATTTGAGGTTGGTCAATGGGTTTATCTAAAGCTGTGACCTTATAGACAGATTTCAGCAGCATCTATAAGTTCTCAAAAGTTGGCATCAAGGTATTTTGGACCTATAGGGTGTGGAAAGGATAGGGAAGGTTGCATACAAGTTAGAACTTCCCTCTGCATCTAGAATTCATTCAACTTTCCATTTTTTTTGGTTAAAATTATGTCCAGATCTCTTGGTTAAGCAAAGGCATCCTCCTCAAAATTGGCCAGAAGTTCCAGCTACCCTTGTTCCAGGGGTGATCTTGAATAAGAGAGTAGGGAGACATAGGGGAAGGGTTATTCCTGAAGCTTTAGTACAATGGAAGGGCAAACCTAATGAGGAAGCAAGCTGGATGTCTTTGTTTAACTTCCAGGAACAATTTCCAGATTTTTAAGTTCCAAACCCTTGAGGACAAGGGCTGTTAAGGGGGGTTATTGATATGAAAATAATAAAAGTCATGTGTTATTTAGGTAGTTGGTAGTTATTAAGGGTAATTAAGTCATTTGCTATTTTTGTTGACTACTCTGCCTAAAGCCTGTAAATACTAGGATCCTGTAATTGTAATTAGGCTAATAATCATAGTGAAAGTGCATTATTCAGAAAACCACCTGATTCTCTCTCTCGAATCCTCTCTGTTTTTCTGTGCTTCCTGAATTCTCCTCCTTCTCTCTTCAAATTCTATCTTATCTCTCTTCTATTCTACTTCTTTTGCCTTTTTCATATCATAATGATCTTTCTGTTTTTCATTGCAGGAGAAAGATATATGATATTTATTACACCTCTATAATTATTATTCAAGGGCAACTGTATTTTTTGTTATTTTTATTTGGGAGCACAGAGATTTTCAAACTACAAAATCACTTTTCTCTTTCTATTTCCTTTTAAATCATATTTTATTTTGCATAACAGCATTATATGGTATTCACGTATTTGAAAGTGATGTCGAGGTAGAAACACATTAGCACAACTTTAATTTTTAATCTTCCTCATGGTTACTGCTTAAGTGTTGTTTGAAAGTTTTTGTTCTCTTTTCCTCCCCCTTTGGTTACACAGATGCATGAACTAGCAATGAAACTTGCACTGCAGAAATCCCAGAATGCTGAACTCAGAAGTCAATTTGAAGGTAAGTTTGTTGGGTGAATCTTGTACAATTAAACCATACCAATGTTTTGGCTGCAGTGTGTGGCTAGTTTGCTGTGTGACCTTTCTAAGATTCATTAAGCAAGTTATTCACAAATCTGATAATCCTTTGAAAATAGATGTGCATAATCAATTTTATTATTTTTACACCATCTAATCATTTGAAGCAGTGTTTGTCAATAACAGCTGCAATGGCTGTCCCAGTTATCATCCGTGGTGATTTTTGGCATTGCTGCCACAAATCATTGACAACTGTGATTTTTTTTTTTTGGACTGACATTGACAACTGTGATTTGATGTATGCAATTTTTTAATGAATATTGTCGTGCACGAAGTGTTGATCTTGGGACATTTTTAAGGAGTACAAAATTACCAAGGGAGGAATTTTAGACTGTAGGATGGAATGAACACTTGGAGATTTATATTATGTTCATCCATAATCTGTTATTAATGTTTTTCATTATGTTTGCAATGTATGTAATATTAATCTTAAACATTGGTTACAGGATTGAGGAAATTTATGGAGGGGCTGACAAATGATGTGGAAAGATCCAATGAAATGGTTTCACTTCTTCCTACTGTCATATTTTGATTTTAATCAAGGATTGCTACTCATAATTTCAGTTATGCGTTAGGCAGCCATTATTTGGCACTGAAAAATGTTTTCTGAAGGAAATTTTATCTGAAAAAAAATATTTTACTTTGAAGCAGGAAAAGAAGTGTTTTTCTCTTACGCATTATGCTTTATCGATTAGTATATCTGCCAACACAAGTAGCAGCAGGATCTTTCTGTTAGGTTTTATGAAGTATATGATTAGGTTGTTAGATTAACCGGTGGTAGAGCCATAAATGCTTTTGATGAAGTCTCTTATTTTTCTCAATATTGTTTTACTTCGTCAGGACACAAGCTGAATGGATTTTTCCTGCAGGTTGTTATGATGCAAGAAAAATTAGAAGAGAAGGATAAGGAGATCCAAAGACTGAAACGCGAACTGCAACAAAAGAGCTCAATAGAGGATGAGAAAACAGACGCGGCATCTGAGAAGAAAGACAGTTGCGAGAAGATATCTGACGAAATTATCAACTAATTCAAGCTTTAGATTTAAAACGGTTTTGGAGGAAACGATCGTTTTTCTTCGCTGTCAACGCTAATCGTATATTTTGTATGTTCAATTTTTTTTTTTTGGCAGGCAGCAAGGCCCAAGGTCCTATTTTGGTGAAACTCTAGGGAGTGATGCCCTTGGGCCTTGGGGTACTGGAGATAAAACATAAATTTTTCCTTAGTTTGCTCCACATAAAGGTTTTGAATTGAATTTGGCTCCCGACCATTTGCTTGGGAATGAGAACTTTTCCTATTTACGCTAATTTGAGTTTTTCTTTTTTTGAACATGCAAGTGAAATAATTTGACTTGTGATCTGAACCCAGTAAATCACCTCATTACGGCCACATGAAATTAATAAGAATTTCTGAAAATTGAAAGCTATCATTTTAATATGGAATCGACGCAAGAAGTGTCAGGCACGATTATGCATCATTGTAGCCGGTGATGGTGGATGGTGTTATACTTTGGCAAGATAGCCACTTCCTATGATCACAACTCACAAGTCACCCAGAATCGTGCTTTTTACTCGAGTTTTGATTTAAAATGGGAAATATCTGAAGCCTTCTACTTTTTCCTTAGATCATTCAAATTTAAGATGTTTGATTCATTACTTTCCCAAAATCTTCACCTTCGGCATCTCTTGAAATACTGCCAAAAGAGGGGATCTCTGAGGTTACAAGCAGTATAAATTAATACCATGTTCATCAAATTCTTCAAATGGAAGGCAGCACATTTTCTTCGTCATTGGACCCTCTGACCATTGAATTGTGTTACTACCTGCTAGTCTGATGCGATTCAGTGAGCACCACGTGCTATTACTTATCATGCACAATACTATTTCCCTTCGATTTTTTGGTTTGTGGTCCTCTTTGTTTCTGTTTTTGCTGTTCTCATGGGAAAACTTGCGAGAAACATCAACGAATCTAACGTCTGCAATACATTCAAAGATTACTATTTGGATTACATATCAATTTGAAGTCAAGCAAATGTAGGCCTAAAGCAAATTTTAGATTTCAACCTCCTCTAATTTGAAGTTGGAGCCCTAAACAAAAATCCCTATTTCATGAAACTCCTCAATGGTGGTAAAAAGTATGAGACTTGAAACTCTAAACAAAAATTAATTTATTTGATATGAATTTAACTCATAACTAAAGTTGAAGATTCAAATCTCACTACCTATATAAAGATCTTTTTTATAGACAATCTATAAATATATCTATAAACTATATGTGCCTTTTGAATATAAAGATACCTCTTAACTTTAACGAGTAAGTAGAACTTAACTCATATAAACTTTTAATTATTAAAAAAAACTCAGAACTGTAGATGGCTGTTTCAAGACCCTTCCATCAATACATTTGGATGTTTTAGTTTTATGGTTCAGCCTCATCTGTCAATGCAATTTGCCGTCATGGTTTTCCAGTTCAACCTCCTCCATTGAAGCTACATATAAAGCTATGGGGCACAAGGTGATAGCAGCGAGGCATTTGGGAGAGAGAAACGACGCAGCATGACCAGAGATGCGAAAAGCTAATCCCCATCCCTCTAAGCTTTATTTCTCCTCTATTTTTTTTTCCTTCTCAAATCAGGAGCTTTACTTCATAGGATCTTATTTTCTGAGAGAACGGGTACTAATCCAAATAAACCATCAAATATTTTCCCCCCAGCCAATTTCTCTGACCTTTTCCTCTCGACACCTGATCAATGTCCCGCTGCTGAATTACTTGCCCAGGACACATGTAAAACTAGCCGTGGACCAAGAGAATACCCAATGCTCATTCTGACCCAGAATTACTCTATTCTGATTTCCATATTTCTGATGAGAATATTGATCATTTTGAATGAAGCCCGCCTCAGCTTGATACGGATTTTGGTCTTGACCAAGAAATTCACGATGTCGAAGACGTGCATGTTAGAACCCCGTAATAGGATGTATAGATGGTGCCATTCCTTTCTTATTTCACTTCTGCACACTCTTCTTCCTGCCAACCATATCCATCTAGCCTTCGTGCATCAGATATTGCTCTAACAGATTCCCATGTCATTATAAGAAAACTATCCGAGTACCGAAGTTTGAACGGCAGCAATACCAAACACAAACAGTTAATAATAGTACAGTATGGCTAGCGTTTTTTCCCACGGTGAGACCACCCCAAACCTGCATTGCCAATGTTTCCAACAGGTTGAATAGGTTCCAACAAGCCTTTTGTGGAGCTGCCAAGCCTTTCTCCCTGAAACAATCAAAGGTATAAATGAATGAGAAAATAAGAAACGAAAGGAAACGCAATGTGAACCTTATAAAGGGCCAAATGGCAGTCAATAATCAAAACGCTGCAAGATTTTGAGAACTTTGGATTTACCTCCTTCCAACCCATGCTTTTCAAAATTTTTCTAGCATAACTACCGGACCCAAATGATATCTCCAGAGCCTCAGCTGCAGCTTCTTGTGGACAATTACCAACGGGTGATGATGGGGTATCATTGTCACTGTCAACTGGATTCTTCTGTCCTGGACCCACACTAAATACACCATGCAACATTCTTCTTTCAGCAGCTCTATCTCTGTACTGACAGCTTCTTTGCTGGCACAGCAGTGAAAATGCAAACAACTTAAATAAGCTTTAGAACTCATAAGTCTATTTCTGGCACGACCTTTTTAGTTGGCACTGACATCTATATCATCAACTAAGTTATGAGTTTGGCACACTTTTCTATATAGTCGAATGGAATGCAAGGATTTATCAAGTTTTTAAATCAAAACACACACCTTAGATGCAGCTAACTGATTCGGCAACACAGGCAGACCTTTTTCATTGCATACTCCACCAGAAACTGATGCAGAACTTTCACTGGATTTAGATATATGGGTGATTTTCCAATCAGATGATAATGGAGGGAATCCCCATTCTTTTGTAGGATTGGCAGAATCATATGTTGATAGTGAAGCTAAATAACTTGCATTAGGATTTCGCAGTTTGTATACTTGTCCTGGTGAAAAGCAGCCATGTTTAATCCCAATATTTCAGACTACAAGAAATCCCAATATTTAAATTTTGCCACATAAGCTGTCATTCTTGACTGTTGATTCCAGCTCAACCATGATAAAGAAATTCATACAACAAATTCTAAATAAATACTTAGCTTTCAGTAGGATATTAGAATTGGAACTTTGTTATTGCAGACAGAGCTTGAGCATATGCGTGGAAAAGAGTGTAAGAGAATTTCAAATTAAATGCTCATCACCTCTTGTATATAACATACTAATAATTATTTCTTGTTTAACATGGTAGTGTATAAAATTATTTATCCATAAAATTATTTATCCAAGATCAAAATGCAGACCTGTTTTGACTCGTACCAGATCGAGATGAGCTTCACATATAGGAGCAGATCTTAATTTTCCACCACCTGAAGGCATAGAAGGGTGAAGCTTAATGGACCGTTTTACTAATCTTCCAACCAACCTTGCCACCTCATCTTTTCCATCTTTTCGGGATCCTCGAACCATTTCCCATTCCCACACGTCCACAGCTGGAAACTCTGAAACCACCTCTTTTCCTGAATCAATGACTTGACCGTACTGAGCACGCCATTTCTCTTCATCTGTTGAAACATTTGTAATGATCCATACCAACTAAATGAAAATAAATATATGCATTTTCAACCACGATTTAGCCATAGCCGTGAAGTCCTAAACTGTAATGAAAAATTGTTACACTTCCAAAGCCAAAGTGCTTTTGTTCACTTACAAAAGCTTCACCAAACAGGCAACTAATTGCCAGATATACAAGTGATAAATAAAGACAGAAAACATCTCTGCTGCATTCAGAGGTTTGTGTATGTGTGTGCACTTGTATATGAAAGAAGAGAGTACCTTCATCTATGATAGTATTAGCTATACCATTTTCATCCTCTGGGATCCATTCACCTTCTTCCAATTCATAAGTATTGTTATTGTGTGTACCTAGGTGAAACAGGTCCATTAGTAGCTTTCTAGATATCACATTTTTCCTGTATTTTTCTAACAAGACTATGGAGATTGGAGAATGCGAACAAACCATCAGATGCTAACTTAGCTTCATCATCTGTTTCCAAGGGCATTACTGCTGTATCAGCTTCACTTATAGCAGGGTTATTGTAGCCAGACAAGTAAAGATCAATTAATGTGTCCTCTAACCTGCACTTAGTGAATGGACAATATTTGGTGCAGAACAATACAAGGGGAAAAATGAACAAGAAGGATGTAGAAGATGCATACCACTCAGATGGTGGTGGAGGAGGTTTCTCAGAAGTTGGACTCCTCATGCAATCCCTGGGATCTGTTAAAAAGATAACTACTTAATTAACTTGGGCTACTCACTTCAATGAGAGCCGCATGTCTGGACCAAAAATGTAGATTCACCAAGGGTAGAAGAAATGAAATTTTCTATGTGCATTAAAAGAGCAAAGTGCAGATGTCAGGGACATGACTGGGAGGCACTTTGCAGGGGTATTTGACCCTGGCTATTGCAGAATCAGTTTCATCCCATCAACGTACAGTACTACTGTTGCCAGAACATATTCCAAAGCTATCATAGATAGAATTAATAAATAGCTTCATTTCCAAATAAAGTAAAACAGTTGTATTTCTCACCATGAGAAACTTCATCAGCCGTTCCCATCTGTTGATGACATTCTGATATACTTTCAGCAAAGGTAGAATAACACTCGCCATTCTCACCATATATTTGTTGACAAGAACCATCTGGTAGAGTAGGGTCTTTTGGTGCAACATCATTGGAAGGGAATGTTCCTCCATCATCAGCCTGGGTGGGACAATATGCAAGATAACTTAAATCATGAAATTAAAATGATCATAATTTAAGATTTGTTTTAAGAAAACATTAACTGAAGAACATTTATAACAAGCATGAATTACCTCATTAGAACTCAGAAGTACGTAATTGCCGTCCTCAAATTTATAATAAAGACCATCCTTGCTGCTATAGTACCAGCCAGCACTAGGGTCATGGTAAAAGCCACTACTGCAGGAAATTAGTCATTCCCCAAACAACAGAAAAAAGTTAGTTACCATAAATTTATAAGAGAAAAACAGTCAACAAATAGCATGAAATTAAGTGAATGAGACATTGATTGTTAAGCCAGAATGATTTTTTTTTTTTTGGTGTTTAGACTCTTAATTTTATCGAAATTTTGAAAATAGCTGAATTAATAGCTCAACAGAATAAAACACTAGTACGAATCAAACAATTGTTCTGCAATTGTGAATCACCACATAAATAACTAAAGCGTCCTAAACGGCGTTTCAAACGAGTTCTACCAAACCTAAACATCCTTGTGCTTGCGAGATAACTAGGAATAAACATAATACCGAATCAAAAAAAGAAAAATCATAGTAGACAAATATTGTTCGAAATTCAGAGAAAACCTGGCGTGGAAGTAAAGCTGAGAATTCTCATCCCAAACAAAGACAGAATCATTATCGTTTTGAAGATTCTCAGGATGATCTGACTCCATGACTTGGGCTATTTATTTGCTGCTTCCTATATCCGAATTCTTCAATGTTTCATCACAACGACGTTCTGTTTCTGTGACCGCGAGACAACAGGCTTCGCGGCCGATGCCTATAGGCGCCAACGGCGAACACGACCCCCATCGTTCTTCTACCCAGCCCAAATAGTCTAGGATTGCTTTTCTTCCATTTTGTGTCTTCGGTGAAAATTCCAGGATTACATACTCAGAAGCATGTGGTAAAAAAAAAAAAAAAAAATATATATATATATACAAAGAATTATGTTTGGTCCTGGGCTTGGCCCTCTTAGTTACCAAAATCTGTAGTGTGATCCCGAAAGCATGCCTTATTTTAATGAGCCTCAAGGACCAAACTTGATAAGGTAAAACAAATAAATTTTGCTATGATATGCAATTAAATAGGAATGCATTTTTGTTTAAATTTTTCACAAAATAAAGATACTAAAAATAAATATATAATGTAAAAGATAGGTGAAATTAATTGTGTACGATACAATTTACAAAAAAACAGATATAAAATGAGAAAATTCGACCAATGTATTAGCAAGAAAATGAATCTTATCTTGTTATCCATTATTGTACATTTTGTGTCACTGACTCTCTTGTAACTGATTGTGAAATTAAAACAGTGTAACAACTTATTACTTGCCCCATATTGTGAAATTAAAACAGCAACTTTCCAACTAGGGGGTACCAAGGCATTAGAACCGGATGGTTTTCGTAATAGATTTTATTAGAATTCTTAGGATGTGGTGGCAGAGGTAGTTACTAGTATGGCAAGAGAATTCTTTTCGAGGAAGAAGTGGTGACATTAGCAAACTGAACAAGACAAACTAGTCTTGATTCCTAAAGTTGAAAAGTTAGAGATGGTAAGTCAATTTCGACCTATTGAGCTTTGCAACTTTTCCTACAGGATTATTTCTATGATTCTTGCAAATAGACTCAAGCCATTGCTTGATAGGTGTATCTCAGCTAATCAAAGCGCCTATCTTCCAGGTTGGCTAATTCATGACAACATAATTATAGCCCATGAAATATTCCATTATCTTAGAAGGAACCAGGGGGTAAATATGAATTTGCCTTGAAGGTGGATATGAGAAAAGCCTATGACAAAATAGAATGGGATTCTTGCAAATAGACTCAAGCGTGGCTTGATAGGTGCATCTCAACTAATCAAAGCGCCTTGATTCCAGGTAAGCTAATTCACGACAACATAATTATAGCCCATGTAATATTCCATTATCTTAGAATTAGCAAGCGCGGGGTGAGGGGTAAATATGAATTTTCCTTGAAGATGGATATGAGAAAAGCCTACAACAAGATAGAATCGGACTTCTTACAAGATACTTTATTGAAGCTGGGATTCTGTGCTGCATTGGTAAACTTAATTATGAATTGCTTTTCTTTTGTACAATTGAATCTGCGTATATCAAGAAGGAAGGTGGCCACTTTGACTCTGGGTAGAGGTTTTAGACAAGGAGATCCTCTTTTCCTGTACCTATGAATTCAACTAGTTGAAGTCTTATCATGCATCATTAATAAAATCATTGATAGTGGAGCCCCGAAAGGGTTAAATTCTCAAATTCCTGCCCAATTCTATCTCATATTGCAGATGATGCCCTCTTGTTCATGAATGCAGATGTCAATAATTGTAGAACATTTCACAATTTGAACTTACACTGCAAAGCCTCAGGACAACAGACCAATCTCCAAAAATCTGGGCTAATTTTTTTCCTAGAAGTACACCTGGGGAGATCAAATTGGCAATCAGTGAAATCTTGAGTATCCTTGACGTCCATGAACCTGGAAAGTATTTAGGAATTCCCAATGTTTGGGATAAATATAAGCAATAGGCATTGGTTTATATCAAAGAACAAGTTGCTAAGAAAGTTCAAGGTTGGCAAAGAAACCTTTTATCTTTTGCAGGAAGAGAATTCATGATTAAATCGGTGGACAATACCATTCCTATCTACCCAATGAGCTGTATCAAGTTTGCTAAAAAAACTTGTAAAGACCTTAATCGACTTATATCTAATTTTTAGTGGGATGGCAGTGTAAAAGGAAGGAGTATTCATAGATAATTTGGTGAAACCAAAGAAGGATGGGGGCTTGGGCTTTCGTGATTTTGAGATTCTCAATGATTCTTTGTTAGCCAAAATTGCATGGTGTCTAATCCAAACCTTGAGGCACTCTGGTGCAGAGTAATAAAAAGTATTTACTTCCAAAAAAACCTTATTTATGACTCCTGAATAAGGTTACAAAGCCTCTTGAATTTGGTCTAGCCTACTAATTAGAAGAGAGTTGCCGAAAAAAGTTTGGGCCTGGATGATTGGCAACGAAGCTTCTATTAATGTTTGGAAAGACAATTGGATTCCAGATATGAAAAATATTACCTTACAGCAACTTATGTAGGTAGATAATGTCTCTAATATTACTGTTGATTCTTTAATTTATAATGGCTTGTGGGATTTATCATTATTACCTCAATATATTCCTAAAGAGGTGATCATGTCAATTAGAGACATTAAACTTGATAATCTCTCCCCTGTGGACAAATTAGTTTGGACTGGTGCTAAAAATGTTGACTTTAATGTGAGAGCTGGATACACGATAGAGTTTAGCACAAGTAGAAAGCTTTCTTATAGGCCTAACACGTCCTTTAGTTTTGATTGCAATTTATGGACTAAGATTTGGAAGGTTAAAACTCGTCCTATAATACAACATTTTATTTGGCACAGCTATTCTAAAACTATTCCCACTAATGATGTACTGTTTTGTAGATATTGTGCCATTATACCATTGTGTCTGATTTGTATTGGTGAACCAAAAACACTTGAACATTTGTTTTTCTTCTATTCATGGGTTAAACGTCGTTGGTTTGGCTGTCAACTATCTCTTAGAATTGATAGACTAGGTATCCCGTCCTTTGAGGCATGGTTTTCAGAAGTGTTAGCTAATAGATTTGCTATTGACAATATTGAGTTGTCTTTGTTGGTTTGGCTTTTACAGCTCATTTGGAAGGAAAGCAATGAAGTTGTGTTCAATTTAGAGATCCTAATCCTATTTCTGTCGTACGTCCTCACTAGAGCCACAATCGGGTGAAGGATTTTTGGACAGCTTGGCAAAGAGAAGAACCTATTGGTGATACGACTACTAGTGTTCAAAATCACCATTGGCGAGCCCCACTTGCAGGTTTTATTAAGATAAATTGTGATGGCTCTTTCAGTATTGTTGATGTCTTGTCTAGTATTGGGTTGGTTTGTAGAGATGGTACTGGTAATTTCTTGTGAGCTTTCGGGGAGAATGTTTTCTGAAGTTCAGCTTTCTCGAGTGAATTATTGCTTGTCCGTAAAGCTCTTCCGTTGATTGTGGAGCTTAATTTTAGTGTTATTATTTTTGAAAAAGATAATGCTAATTTATATGCGTATTTACAAAATGCTTCTACTGATAGATGTGAATGGCAAAGTTACTATATCCTCCAAGATGTCTTGGATTTGGTTGCATTACGTGTTGGTCTCTCTTTCTCTTTTACTAAAAGAGAAGGGTAAGTTTTCTACTGATTATATAGCAGTTTCCATTCGTAAGAAGTTTTGCTCCGTGGATAGATGGACTCACGAACACTTTCTCTTGATCTCATTTTAGATCATGATGTTGCTGAATCAAACTCATCTTCTGGTTAGCGAGAAGGCATTAGCCAATGGATTCCTATAGGCTCTTTAGTTAAAGCCTTGTTCTTTTGCTGTATTTGTGTTTCTGTTGTTAGATTCTTGCTTCGGTGTTTTGAACTGTTCTTTATTGCTTTGTAGTGTTGGGTTTTGCTTCAGTTATCATAAAAATATCTTTCAGGTAAAAAGAAAAAAAGACTCTCCTGTACATGACAATCTAACTTTTTGCTGAGTATTTTTTTACCTTAAGTTAAACTTGAAGTAATAGCATTTAAAAATATAAGAAATTGTACGTAAAATGAAACCAATCTACAAAAGGCTTTTAACACTAGCGAGTTCAGAATTTTCAACTCTCACGTATTATATGGATCTCGCCATATATTACTAGCGAGACTGATAAGTAAAGTTTAATTTGTTGCACAGCACTCATATTTCCGTCATTCTCCTTGTGACGAAGAATAAGTTCCAAAATCAACAAGCTTGAAGTGAAACCTCTTTATAAGATACATTTTCACTTTACATTCAAATTCAAATATACTCTTCTTGTGAAGCACGCCTTCCACATCTCGCTAGATGTTTCCGGGGTGAGAGTATACGCCACTCACTCTCTTAATTTAATCATTTAATATATATATCTGTGCGTGTATTGGAAAATTGCAAAGATCTAGAGCATAAAGAATTGGAAAAAGAGTTGTGCCTTAAAAAAATAATATTCTCTCTGTCTTAATTTATATGATTCTTTTAGACAAAATTATAAATACATATAAAATTTATTAAATACATTTCACAATTTTATTTTTTTAAAAATAAAAATATAAATTTTTAAAAATAATCTTCATTTAATACTCTATGTATGAAAAAAAAATAGGAAAGAGAAATATTTTCCAATGGACCTAAAAAAAAGTCTGAAAATTTGCCACAAGATTTATGGACTGAATTAAAATAAAATGAGTGGCTGAAAAGATTGAAATGCTTTTTTACAAAGGGAAAAAAAAAAGATCGACAACTGATATTGATAAATTAATAAGTAAAATTAAAAAATTAATAACTAATAATTTTGTATTTAGAACAAAATGATTGAATTGACAAGTCTTATAATTTACAATTGATATTAGAAAATTAACAAGTAAAAATAATTAACAACTAATTTTAGCATGATTATTGACCAATGAAGTCACGTAATTTACAACTAATATTGATAAATTAATAACTAATAATGATGTTTTTAAATCAAATTGAGTGAACAAATCTTGTAAAAGATTTATAAGTCAAGTAGTTAATAAGTGATATTGACAAATTAACTGATAATGTTGACAAAATAACAAGTAATGTTCTCACGATTATTGAGTCACAGAATTAACTAATTAACTATTTAACAAGTACTATTAAAGAATTAACAAATACAAGTAAGAAATTAACTAGTAAAGTTAGGTAATAACTAAGTACTTATTAATTTTGTGAAAAGACATTTTGATCTTTTTAGCTACCCATTTTATTTCAATTCAATTTAGAAATCCTACAGCAAATTTTCATATTTTTTTTAGGATCCATTGGTAAACATTTCTCTTTCCTAATCCTCAGTTAAAATTCTTCCAAAAAATTATTAAAGAGAGAGAATACATGTGAAGAGTAATATTAAAAAAATATTATTAATAAAATTTTATTTTTATTAAAGTGTCTTATATTTTATAAACTTAAATATCTCTTAAAAATGTCATATAATCTAAAAGAAAAAATACTACAATTTTAAATGCTTGGGGGTTTAGAGCTCTGCCTTGCTTTAAAATGACAATAAAGTCATAGAACTTAAAATTTATGATAATTAAGCTCTCGATAAAATTTTCTAAAAAATAAGTTAAAAGTATTAATTCAAATAATTATAAAATGAAATATGAATTGCAAGTTAAGAGTTATATTTAAAATTTAAATGTATTATTTTCATTAAGAACTCTTAAATTTATAACTATCTAAATTTTAAATTAATATTTATAATTAATTTTTTAAAAAAATTGAAAACCTAATTATCATAAATTCATTATTTTAGAACTTTAATATCATTCTTCCAATTAATTTAGATCTCGATATAAGGAAAATGTTATCAACTATAGAGGAGTTGTTAGAGATTACAATACTGATTGAATATGTAGCTTTGATGTGAATATAGGTAACTACCTTCTTACTATTTTTAAAATGATCAGTATTATTTATGGTCCTCAATTATGTTGGGAAAAAAACTTTTGTAATATACAAATTTATATGGATTATATAAATAATTAAAAGTGATGTTACTTGTAACTTGTTGAGAGAGATTATCATCCAAGCTAGAACGAAACATTTATTTAATTTTCATGTTTAAGGAGGCTAACTCCTACACTCATTTGTTGGCTACCAAGATCAAAATGAGTTTGTATATTATATCTTTATCAACCTTCACCTTAACTGTGTCAAGATACTGCCGGAAAATATGAGTAGCTTGTACTCTCGTTTGATTAAGGATCTATTTTTCATTTAAAAAATGTGGCATAAAAGAGATATTGCCCTGAGTCAGGAACAAGGAAAATGAAAAGAAAGACAATTACTGGCGGAAAAAAAGAAAGAAAGACAATTGGTGGAGGTCAGAAAAAGCTGGCCATGCATTGCCCTATAAAATAAAAAAAAATGAAATTGTTAAACAACAAGAGCTGGCCCCCTCCCCATGGGCTGCGCACCAGACAAAGCTGAGGAAACATCTAGAAAAGCCACGATACATTCAGAACAGAAACCTCCCTCTGTTTTGAAAATTGGGCCAAAAGTTTTACTTGTCTCTTGAGAATCACCTACTACTTTCTGGTTTTTTTTCTGAAGAAAAAAAAAAATCTTGTTCACGCATCTACAGAAATATGAAAGAATAAAGTAATCTCATAGTTCCATACAAATCACAACGTCACATCATATTTTTTTTTCCGCTTGACATTTGAAAATCATGTCGGATTATAACTAGTGGTGGAGCGATGAGAGAGATAAAGCCTGGCTTTAATCTGAGATCACTAATTAAATGGATACAATTTTGTCAGTTAATATTGTCATTTATATTCTACATGCGTGGTAAATAAGCCGTATATGACTCATATGCCCTCATTTATTTTAGTTATGGCTGTCGCTAGAATGTCCCAATGAGCATCGTGCCAGTAAGGACTCCACCCACGCCAAAAACGAGCTACTAAACTGCTCCCCCTTCCCTATATAAGCCGCTCACTTGACAGACCACAATTCCTCGCCAACTATAATATAAGCTTACCTGAGCATCGAAACTCTTGAATTCCCTTTCTCTTTCTGTGGCTGAGTTTTCTGTCATGGCCCCAAGAGCAAGTAAAATTGCTGCACTAGACGTATTGAGCCTCACTGATGGTAATTCTGCTGAAACTGAAACACGGCCTTTATCCATAACCTTGGAAGGATCAAGTTTTCTCGCCAATGGCCACCCATTTCTCACCCACGTCCCTGCCAACATAATAGCCACACCTTCTCCTTCTTTCTCCTCCGACAAGACCACCAACGCCACCGTCGGTTGTTTCGTGGGCTTCGACGTCCCCGATGAGCCCCGCAGCCGACACGTCGTTCCTATTGGCAAGCTCAGAGGCATTCCATTCATGAGTCTATTCAGATTCAAGGTGTGGTGGACCACCCACTGGGTCGGAACCAACGGAAACGACGTGGAGCACGAGACCCAAATGATGATCCTAGATAAAAACGACACCGGTCGCCCTTACGTCTTGCTCTTACCGATCATTGAAGGTCCTTTCCGAGCTTCACTCCAACCAGGGTTAAACGACAACGTGGACATCTGCGTGGAGAGCGGGTCCACGCGTGTCCGTGGGTCGACCTTCAGAAGCTGTCTCTACATGCATGTCGGCGAAGACCCTTACCGTTTAATCAAAGGAGCCATGAAAGTGATCAAGGTCCATTTAGGGACATTCAAGCTGCTAGAAGAGAAAACCCCACCGGGTATTGTAGACAAGTTTGGTTGGTGTACATGGGATGCGTTTTATTTGAAGGTACACCCGAAAGGTGTGTGGGAAGGAGTGAAGGGCCTCGTGGAGGGAGGGTGCCCTCCAGGTCTGGTCCTGATCGACGATGGCTGGCAATCAATCTGTCACGATGACGACGACCCTATAACGGACCAAGAAGGTATGAATCGGACGGCGGCGGGTGAGCAAATGCCATGTAGGCTAATTAAGTTCCTGGAGAATTACAAGTTTAGAGACTATCGTAGTCGTAGGGTACCCTACGAGACGGGGATGGGAGCGTTTGTGAGGGACCTGAAGGAGGAGTTTAAGAGCGTAGAGCATGTGTACGTATGGCACGCGCTTTGTGGCTACTGGGGTGGGATAAGACCCAACGTGCCGGGGATGCCGGAGGTTGAGGTGGTTGCTCCGAGGTTGTCGGAAGGATTGAAGAAGACGATGGAGGATCTGGCGGTGGATAAGATCGTGAACAACGGCGTCGGGCTGGTCCCACCAAAGCTCGTCCATCGCATGTACGAAGGGTTACACGGTCATTTGGAATCGGCGGGAATTGACGGCGTCAAAGTTGACGTTATACATGTAAGTCTTCTGGAATATTCTTCCCGCTTCCTATTGCCAATTTCAATTTTTTATACATCACGCGTGATCATATATTCTCTTTATTTAAAAATATAAAATATTTTTTAAAAAATTAAATATTTAAAAATAATCACGGATGATCATATGCTCTCTTTATTTAAAAATATAAAATATTTTTAAAAAAATTAAATATTTAAAAATATAAAATATTTTTAATTTTTTAAAATATAATTATTATCTTTTTTTAAGTATTCTATTAATAATAACTTTATATTTATTATGAGTTATTTAACAGGATTAAATATAAAAAAATAAAATTAATTAAAAAATAAGTAATTATTTTATTAAAAAATAAAATTTAATTAAAAATATTTTATATTTTTAGATAAAAAAATATATAATTCACATTTTTAATATTATTACTGAAATAGCTTTGGGCCTCCATATTATTTTAAACTTTTTTAGAGATACCATTCTCTTTAGTTTTGCTCTTAGCCTATGTTAAATGTTGGTGTCCTAGGGAGAACACTAGAAGCGAATAGGTATGGAGAGAAGCCTCCTCTATCTTTTTTTTGAGGTAGAGAAAAATTTAAATCATTTAAATTTAATTTAAATGATCTAAATTTAATAATTTTATTTTTATTTTTTATTTATATTTTTAAATTAAAAAATATAAATAAATTATAAAAAAATTTAAGAAATATATTGATTAATCTGACAGTCCATATTTAATATAGATGCTTCAAATTTAATATAAAATTTTAAATTAACTTTTTAGATATATTCTGAACAGTGTAAATATATTCTGAATAAAATAGTAAATTTATTAAAAATTTTAATATTAATTTTAGACCATCTATATTAAATTAGATTCATAAATATATTTATTAAAAAATTTATAATTTTATATATTTTTTACTTTAAAAATATAAATAAAAAATAAAAAAAATTAAATATGAACCCTCCAAATTAAATTTGGGCGGTTCAAATTAAACCTTTACCTCAAAAGAGAGGCAGAGGATTGGAGAGAAGTCGAGTCCAAATAGATATATATGAAAATTGAAAGCACTACAATACTCCCTCCAACTTTATTTATAAATTATTTTTATTAATTTTATTAATATTAATATAACAAAAATATAAAGAATAAAATTTAATGAAATTACAAACATAACCCTCAAAAATAAGTAAATCATATAAATTTTTTTGTTTCTTTTTTTTACAAGAATAGTTTAAATATTTTATTTAAAATAAAACATTACTATTAATTTAATAATTTATAAAATAAGCTATCTTATTTTTTTAAAGAGTGACTAATAAAATGGACCTGAGCGAGCATGGTTTATCACTAGAGTGCCCCCTTCTTTTGCCATGTGTCCCTCTTTGAAAGCAATGCCTGTTGAGTACGTAGAAGCCGGCCCTCTTCAGTTGCCATATCCTATCATATTAGTATCCAGATTCAGCACTCCAGTCCAATGGCTCACCACCGTTGATACTAATCGGCATTGATGTTTAGGGCTTTCGCTGTTATTTTCTTTCTTTCTTTCTTTTAACTAGTTAGAAATTATTTTTGGATCATTTTCAAATCTGGTTGCTTCTCCTGGAATGATTGGGCCCATGAACTGATCAGAGTTTGGACTCTTTCTCATACAAATTAAATTAGCAAAAGAACTGATTGTGAGATACATATGCAATTTAATCAATTAATTTGCAGTTGCTTGAGATGCTATCAGAGGATTATGGGGGACGGGTTGAGCTAGCGAAAGCATATTACAAAGCTCTTACAGCTTCAGTGAAGAAGCATTTCAAAGGGAACGGAGTAATAGCGAGCATGGAGCACTGTAATGACTTCTTCCTCCTCGGGACAGAAGCCATATCACTCGCCCGCGTTGGTAATTAAGCCATTCAAAACCTGGATTTCCTCTTTTTGTGGATACTTTTCATTGTGACTCACAATTGCATTGAACGACGTCGCAGGGGATGATTTCTGGTGCACAGACCCGTCGGGGGATCCAAACGGTACGTATTGGCTGCAAGGTTGTCACATGGTGCACTGCGCGTACAACAGCTTGTGGATGGGGAACTTTGTGCAGCCTGATTGGGACATGTTTCAGTCCACTCATCCCTGTGCTGAGTTCCACGCTGCTTCTCGAGCAATCTCTGGTGGGCCCATTTATGTGAGCGATTGTGTGGGCAAGCACAACTTCAAGTTGTTGAAGACTCTAGTCTTGCCTGACGGCTCCATTTTGCGATGCCAGCACTATGCCCTCCCCACCAGAGACTGCTTGTTCAAGGACCCTCTTCATGATGGCAAAACCATGCTCAAGATTTGGAATCTCAACAAGGTAAGTAATATATGTCACATATTTCATATCAGTAAAAATATATACCTCAACATTGTAACTGACATAGTGATTGGTGTTAAATTACAGTGTACGGGAGTTCTGGGTTTGTTTAACTGCCAAGGGGGAGGGTGGTGTCCGAAAACAAGGCGAAATCAGAGTGCCTCTGAGTATTCGCAGAGAGTGACATGCTTGGCAAGTCCTAAAGATATTGAATGGAGCAATGGAAAATGGTCTATAGCTGCTAATTCTGAAGGAAGCGATGTGTTTTTTGTTGTTTATAAGTTGAAGGAAGATAAAGTGAAGCTTTTGAAGTATTCAGAGGAGTTTGAAGTTTCACTTGACCCATTTAACTTTGAGCTTGTCACTGTTTCTCCTGTCAAAGTTTTGCCTCAAACATTGGTTCAATTTGCCCCAATTGGATTGGTGAACATGCTTAATTCTGGGGGTGCTGTTCAATCCGTGGAATTTGAGGAACACCAGAGGTTGGTGAAAATAGGGTCAAGAGGTTGTGGGGAAATGAGAATGTTTGCATCAGAGAAGCCAATTAGGTGTAAAATAAACGGAAAAGATACAAATTTTGAATATGAAGACAATATGATACGGGTTTCTATTCCTTGGTTTGATGGTTCTTTAGGGTTGTCTATTATAGAATACTTGTTTTAATCCCAAATAACCTCAAATTGAAAACTTTATGAGTTATTATTGACTCTATTGTATAAACTCTTTTGCTAAATGTATGAAATCATGCGAATCTCTTAAAAATTTCACTTTTCTTTTAACCCCTTTGTTAATAATGTAATCGTGCGCCAATTCTTTTGATCTTCTTGACCATTGACTAATGCCTTACTAACTAGTGTTGACTTGCTATTAATTATATAATTAGTTGTTAGTCATTGTCGAAGAAAAGAAAATCAAGTTTCATGGAATTATAAAAATAAATAAATAAATCAAACCTCAAGATGTATAAGTCAACCCATCATATGTATTTATAATTTCAATTTCTCATTAATTCTATAGTTATTTACTAGTATTTATTCATTATTTACAGGTTGAATCAAATCATTTACAATTTATGATCAGTGTTTTTTGGCACAAGTTTTGACTTAATAGAAGATCTTTTTTGTAACATCAGAATAAAAGATTAGTGATATTATAAAAACACGTTAATTTTTAAAATCATGTCAAGTTTCATCTGAATTAAGTAGTAAATATATTTTCAAAGCCAAGTTTTAAATATATCCTCATTTTCACTCCCACTTGCATGTAGATGTTCAGCTATTGCCTTGTATCCAAAAAAAAAAGCCCAACTATTTCTAAATTACTATCTATTGCCTCTATGACTTGTCTTTTGGGCTGTGAATTGTTCTTAGAAGTCAGAATTTTTCTTTCTAACAGGGAAAAATTTTAGTTAAGGCTCTCAAAAACAAAATAAATATAATAAAAATTCAAAAAAAAAAAATTCTTTGCAAGCTCAAAGGTTCAAAGACCTTTTAACAATTTCAAAATATATGCAAATGCATTTGTTGGGGCTGTACAAAGATCAAGTTAAGCATCAAATTAAGGTATGATCTGAAAGTCTTTTGAGTTAGATATTTTAGTTTGAGCTCTAGTCCAATTTGATAAAACTCAAGACCAAGATTGGGTGAACTTGGTCTACAGGTTACTAAACCAGTCCACCAATATTTTTGGCTAGTAACTCCTTCATCCCTTTCTTCGCATCTCATCCCTACCAACAGTATCACTCTTTCCTTCTTCATTCTTCTTCCTTCTCTCCCCTTTCAATTGAAATCAAATAACTAAATTAGCTTGGCAAGAACCATAAATTAAAAAAAGAGAAGAAGACCCTCTGACCCACAAATCAGATTAGAACCATAATTTAAAAAGAAAATAGAATAATGGGAAGCTCTAGAGGGAGCACAATGGAAAAAAAAAAATAGATCTACCACCATAAATAAATACAAAAGTTTGAGGAGTTGTAGATTTGGGAAAAGGAGAATAGAGCTAGAGACGCGACGGGGGAGAGAAAAAAAATTTGGGAATGGCTAAAAGAGTGTAGCAATAATGAAGGGTTGTAACGATGCGCCAATGTCAAAGTGAGAGTGGAGAGGAGCGATGACTGAAGCTCAAATGGAGGTGGAACACTATTAGTCATTGGATGGATGTAGCTTGAAGACAATTGGAGGTGAGCAGTGCCCAAAAGTCAAAGTTGAAGGAGGATGGGAGAACGTCAAGCAAAATGAAGAAAACACAAAAGAAGGAAAGGCAATGTTTTCTAATAACTTACATATTTTTTTTTTTAAAAAAATAACTACCTGAACTAGGCCAATTCAAGTGGTCTCAAATATCAATCAATGTTATCTAATAATTTAATCTGACTTGATTAGTCTTTTTTTTTTTGGCTATTTATTCTGGGACTGGGTTTTGTTAGGTTGGACCTGGCAAACCCAGGTTTTAGATTTGTTTGCACAGCCCTACTATTTATTTGTGTCATTTCAACAAAACATTCTGGTATATATGTACACGCACATATGAAAGGCCTTTGAGTTTGCAAAAAAAAGAAAAAGCATAAAGAATATTGGGCCTTTGATGTATATATTTTGCCTTAAGAGTGTTCAACTGAAATTCTCTCAAATTATATGCGAAAGAATTTTCTTGAAGGATGGTTTTGGAACAAAAGGCAAAAATTGCTGGTGCGCACTAATCAGTCCACTCCGTCGTTGATTGGGGCATCATGGAGAAGAAGGTGATTGATTTTGCTCGCTCCGAATCTAACAGCTCCTTTGATACCGACAGCCCCGGAGCTGCAAAAGGAGATGCCGATGACGCCGACGGGTATGAAAGCGATGAATACGTTGCGTTTAAGGATCACTTGCGCTCCGGTGTTGACTTCCGGCCAGTTCCGCCCCTCCGATCTTCCCTCTCACTCGCTTCCTCTTTCCCTCCCAAAGTATCTATGTAGATTTCACTCCCTTCTTATCTCAATTGCTAAATTTGGTTATTTTATCTTCTTTTCCCTCTTTTTTTTTTTTTAATGCACTTCCATTTTTGCGTTCGGACAGAGCAGCAGTGGTGTTACAGGAAGACGCAGTGATACTGGTAGGAAGGGAGATCGAGCTTCTTATGCTGCTGTTATCGTTTCTATGATTGATCGGAAAATGAAAGGGCATGTTGGTCATCTGCTACGAGCTGCACATGTTATCAGTGCGCAAATAAATCAGCTGGAGAATAGGAGTAATCAATTGGAGGGGTTGATTGATAACTTGAAGGATTCAACAGAGTTCTACTACAAGAAAACAGAAAGAAGGCTGAGGGAAGTGGAGGATATGATGACAGAGGTACTGAGCGTATAGAATGCAGTATTTTTCTTCTTCCTCTTGCTTTTTTAACCAGTGAGTTGGCTGGCCGCTTGTTCCTCCTATAATTGGCGTTTGTATAATATGAGAATCTTCAAATTTAAATGTCAAAATACCGTGCGTGTAATTGTGGAAGATGGGCCTGTATTTAACGGATTGAACTGTGCATTGGATTCATTGAACAGAGAACCTCGAAATAGTGTTTTACTGCTTACAAAGAATAGAAATTCCATGAGTGTGGTCTTTCAGTGACTATCATAGTGAGAGCATTATGCAGGGACGGGGCTAGTTACGAGGGTTGGGATTGAAAATCATACATATAGTACGTTTGCATTAATATTGGGGGGGTAGAAAATATATGGCACTGTAATACTAGGAAAAAAATTAGAACTTGGGGGTCATGGCCATGTTCTCCCCTCCCTTTGCCATTAGTGTTATGTAGCATCAATGTTTAAGTTTCTACTTCATAAGTTATCCTTGCTTGGTTGCTCCAAACAGAAGAGGTTTACAATTTTTTCCCTTCCATTGTTTATGTCACTGTAGAAGTTCTGTTGACCTTAATAGTGAGATAATATTGGGGGTTCCTGGATAAGGAGTTTTGGGTTGGTGCTTATCAAACCACGACTTCATCTTCAGCTGTGATTTTTGTGTGCCACAAAGTATGCATTCATGGTCACGTTCTATGCTTATGAAATAATTACTGAGCCTATAACAGCTGTGATTCCCAGGGGATGCCCAAATGTGTCTCTGGGTTGAACAACCTTGAGTGCTTATTCTTTTTGGGACTTTAGAATTTGGAAGAATTGCATTGATGTGCTGTTCAAGGGAAAAAGGCAAAAAATAAAACAGAAAAAGAAAGAAAAATAAATGTTTCAGCTATCTCAACTGGGTGTTACATTGTGTCTAACATCCTTGCTGTCTGTTTTCTTGTTTCTACTCCTTCCCTTGACATCTGTATTTTAATTGCTCTCTTTGTATGAATGCTATACCTCAACATATTTTGAATTATAAAATGGATGCTAACATACAGTCTTACTGTAATCCGGTGAAGTTGCCTTGAATTAGTTTAGTCATGTTGTTATATCAGATTGGCCACTCGGTTAAAATATTTTGATGCTTTTGATTGGAGAACTAGACCCTTGTGTCAGATTATTCTGAAGTATTGATTCCTCTTTTCTTTTTGCACTTCTCTGTTCCATCTGTGATGATAACTTGTAGAGGAATATTTCTCCCAAAATAATGTAAAAAACTCATTACAATTATTCACCTTGTTGTTTCTTTGTAAAAACATTTACAACAACAAGAAGTTTTATTCCATTAGGCGGGGTTGGGTATATGAATTATATGATGCTATTGTGATTTATCATATACCAAACTTTTAGAAATGTTGTTAACTAAAAGATCTTGGTTAACAACTTCCAAAATTGTTTTTTTTTGGCCTTTCTCTACCCCTCTTAATGGGGATAATCGACTCTCCACACCAGTGCCTCCCGCGATCTTTTTTATACATGTTCAAAACATCTCTAATGATTTTCTACTATTTTTTTTTTTATAGATGCTATGCCAACTTTTTCACATATATATTCATTTCGGATTTTATCTTTACGTGTATGTCCACACATACATGTCAACATTCTCATCTTTGCTACTCTAACTTTGTACTCTTGTTGTCCCATTAAAATTTAACATTTACTATCATATAACATAGTTAGTCTTCTAGCAGTTTGATAAAACTTTTCTTTAAGTTTATTAGGTATCTTATGATCACCAATAACTCCTTTGGTTTTTTTCCAATTAAAACTTGAAGTATAATCTAATCTTTCAATTTCACTTCTAAATTACTACTGATTGATCTTTTATCAAAATTATAATATAAATATTTTGTTTTACTCCTATTTAGGTGAAAACTTTTTGACATCAATGTCCTTCTTCATAACTCAAGTTTATATTTAATTTCTTCTTGTCTTTGCAATAAGAACTATATTATTTATAAAAAACTTGCATTTAGATATTTTTTCTTGAATATGCTTAGTCAAAACATCTAGGACCAGGTCAAACAAATAAGAGCTCAAAAATGATCTCTAATGTAGTTCAATCGTTATAGGAAAGCCCTTTGTTTTACTATTAGATGTTCTTATACTAGTTGTTGCTTCCTCATATATATCTTGTATAGCTGTAATATAGGGAACTCGGACTTCATTCTTTTCTAATGCTTTTCAAAGTACTTCTCTCGGTATATGGTCATAAATTTTTTCCAAATCAATGAAAATTATATGTAAATCTTTACCTTGACATCAATATTTTTCTATAATCCTCTTAGTAGATAAATCACTTTTGTAGTTGCCCTACTTGGCATAAAGCCAAATTGATTATCTAAAATACCAATCTCTAATCTTAACCTATGTTCAATCATTTTTTCTCACAATTTCATTTTATGACTCATAAGTTTAATCCTTATGTACTTAGCACAATTCTAAATAGCCTTTTTATTTTTGTAAATAGGAATTAAAGTGCTTCTCTTCCAATTGTTAAGCATTTTTTTAGACTATAAGATTTCATTAAATAACTTAGTTAGTCATTGCATCCCTTTTTCATCTAAACATTTCTACACTTCAATAAGGATTCATTAGCTCTACCATTTCTCATTTTTTTGAAGAGCTTTATTTATCTCTCTATTGCGTATTCTTCAATAGAATGACAAATTTTGTTTTCCTTCACAAGTTACTAAATCTTCCAAGTTATTAGACAAACCTCCTCCATCGTTGAACAATTTGAAAAAGTAGGTCTCCCATCTGTCTTTAATATCACTATCTATGATTAAAACTCTTCCCTCTTCATCCTTTATACACCTTACTTGTTCTAAATCTTAAAAAAAAAAAAAAATTCTTTACTCTTCACAATCTTATAAATTTTTCATTCTCCATCCTTTGTCTTAAAACCATTGTAAAAATCTTCATATGTTTTAAAACGAGCTTCACTTATAACTTTCTTAGTTTCCTTCTTAGTCATACTAAATCTTTTCCAATTTTCATTATTATTGCACAAATAGATGGTTTTAAGACACTCCTTCTTATGTTTTATTTTTTCTTGTACACTATCATTCCACCACCAAGACTATTGATCTCTTGGACCAAAACTTTTTTATTCTTCCAAAACTTCTTTAGCAATCTTCCTTAACTTCTTGGTCATGTCCTCCCACAAGATGGTAACACTTTCTTGAGATTTTCAAATTCCTTCAGCCAAAAGATTTCGCATGAAAATTTCTCACTTCTCACCTTGTTATTGCCACCACCTAATTCCCGGAGTCACCACTTCTCTGTAGAAACATTTATTTCTTCCAATTGCAGATCTTTTGGTAAAGTGAGATTGAGTTGTAGGCAAAGGATATTGTGGCACTTTTACATGGAGATTAAGATTTCTTTGCAAACGAAGTTTCCTTGCTAAGTTACCATGACTGGAGATTTCAAAATGAGTCTTAGCTTTTTCTTTCAGCAATTTAAGACCTTGCACTGTTCTAAATTTGAGTTCAAAATAAATAGATGTTACTTCATTGCAGGTTCAAGACGGCATTCAAGACTTGAGAGATAAACAAAAGATAGCGGAAGTTCAGCTTCAGCTAGCAATGGTTCAACAAATTAGAGTTGATTTACAATCAAAACAACCGAACAGGAATATTCAGAATAAATTGGTTCAGCAACAAGTGTCATATGGCCATTCACAGAACCAACACCCACATCCAAGTCCTGCAGCTTGCCAGCAGAAACTCTCTGATCTACCTTCTTACGGTCCTCCTAGCTTCCCTCAAAATCCGTTGCAAATGCCTGCAGATACAGCAAGAGTAATTCCTCAACAACTGGGGCATAGCCAATCCAATTTTGTTCAACAATATCAAACATGCACCCGACAACTGCTGCCAACTCTTGATTCTGCTACTCAGCAACACCCTGTGATCCCAGCTCAATCATCAGTGACACTATATCGGCCTCACATGCACTCATCATGTTTGGAATCATCTCAGTTGCCTCATCCACAAACAACCTACAGTACCCTCCACACTTGTGTCAATCAAGTGAATCGCCAAGCCCCAGAGAGACCTTACATGCCATCTGAATATCCTCGCCTTCCCACCCCTGAATTATCATCTGCTACTGGTAAGACCTCACTCCATCAACAATTTAACGTGGATTCTACCCAGAGAATAAATAATCAGTCGTTAGGAAGTTCAATGGCAACTCGGGGACATTCAAAACAACCTGGAAATATGAATGTGAGTGATTATGGTGCAAGATCTTCTCCCCATTACGGGGGTTCAACCACGGGAAGTTCACAAGTTCTGCCCCCGTTCTCGCCAGCACCAAGAGTTCTGCCTCGTGCATTACCAGTGGCCTTGGATGTGAATGAGGCATCTAGTTCTGGTGGAACTGAGAGCAGTGTATCAATTGAAGAAATTGTTGAAAATGCTGTAGCAATGGGATTCCGGAGGAATGCTGTGAAAGCAGCAGTTGGAAAACTGACCGAGAATGAGCAATCTGTGGACCTTAATCTGGTATTAGATAAGCTGATACATAGTGGGGAACCTCGGTAATGGGATGCCATTTAATCCACTGTATACATGATATTGTACAGTACTCCGTACATATATGCTGGATTTGTGCACGAGATTCTTTAATATCTAGATTCACTGTCGCTATCTCTGCTAATAATGAGGCTCAGGGCGGGGTATACAGCTAATGCCTTAGCTCGGAAGTGTCATGTATCAGAAAATGATCTCTTAGATCTTTGATCAAAAACCACCATTTATCCGATGGTGGTAATTGATGAAGGATTCCTGGCTTTGTTTTGCTCGCATCTGTAACTCTTAGTAATATATTATCACTTTTCTATTTAAAAAAAAAGAAGTTCAAGTGACCAGTTGAGAAGATCTTAATCGTGACATGCAAGGTAATCAAATAAAAATTGTTGACCAAGCGTAACTTGTTTAAAAATGCTCCTGCTACTCGTGCGAAGCATGGGGTCTGTGGCATAGTTCTGCAACTACTGGAATCATAGAGCTTGCTTTTTTGTCATAGAATGGAAAGAATAAAAACTAATTTAAAAACGAAATTAATCTTTGGATCTCTACTTTCAAAATTATAAAATAAATATTATTAAATAATAATTACAAAAGCATAACCAATGTTAAGCAAAACAAATATGATAAAAATTAAAAGTTCTCATTCTGCAATTGGTTGAAATGTGATTTATTTTATATTTATTCTATGATTAACTATTGATTAGTAATATATTAAAGCGTTGTGCGTGCGTTTGTTTTATTATTATTTTAAAAACAAAAACCTAAAAAAAAAGAGGAAGACACGGAGTGTTATCTTATTATGATATGATCAACTTTTAGGATAATTTTGATTATAATATTTGTTTTATTCAATTACATCTTTCGGTTTTATATAATACTAGATTACTAGTAAATAACACTCAAAAACTCAAAAGTGGAAGCCTCCTGCTTAACGTGGGAGATTGCAACCAGGGACTTGTTGCTGGCAAGAATAGACTTTTTTTTTTTTAATGCATATTCTATTTAGACAAAAGAAAAATGAAGAGACAGCTTATTGCAGTGTTGTTGCGGTGTTATAGGGCCGACCTTTGCAGCCCAAAACCTTTGAAACGACACTTGTCTAAAAGAACGCAGATGTGTGTTTTTTTTCCCCCTCCCTTTTTCTTCTTTATTGTTGGATTTTTTTTTATACAAATAAAAGTTTAAATGAGGTGGTTTATGTAACTCACCAAGCCCGTGCATGCTTACAAAGGCACTTATAAATCGCTTATAAAAAAGGTTTTCTATGCTTGATGAATGAATTAAGAATGGTAGGAATGATAGGGAAGGGCTGATTGCAGAGGAAGGAAATGGAGAAATAGTTGGCATTGATGGAAGGTTGGGATAGTTTTATGAAAAGGAGGATTGTGTTGACTGTTGAGAAAAGAATGAATCATCAAAAGCGGGAGAAGATTGGGGAGCCAACTTTTGGGGCTAGAGATGATCATTCCGGCATGTTCTGGAAATGTCACCTTTTAACCCACCTGCGTGCTTCAATCATATTTATTCCTCAGCCCTCACAGTGTCATTTCAATTCTTGGCATTTAAGTGATGGCCCCACCCAACACAGAATTTTGGTGGCTTTTCTGTCTCGGCCTCGTTGTACAACCACTCCTGAAAACCCCCCGTATTCCCAAATTCAACGCTACTCCCCATTCTTGTCTACTTAGGCATGCCTTCCTGTACCGATTTAGACATGAGTGTTTCACCCAAATAAAATTAAATTTAATAATTATTATTTTATAAAAACTTTTTAAAAGAATTTTTTTTTTTGCATGGGTACTAGGTATTTTAGAACAAATCATCTCTCAAATATATCAACAATTTCAAACTAATTTAAATCAAGACATGATATAAAATTATTAAAGTTGGCACCCTTGGCCTCTAGAGTGATATATACTTATAATTTGAACTCGAGATTTATGATTAAACTAGAACAATTCCAACCAACTGATCTAACCCCGCAAGGTTTTTTAAAAGAATTCTTTAATCTTAATATATACTACACGAGAGTAATTTATTACTGTTTTATAATTTTACAGTTATTGTAAATTTTATTTTATTTTTCATTGTATATTGTGTATTTCTTTCTCTCTTTTTTTAATAAAAAAAATTAAAAAAAATTCATTTTAAGACATATTTAGGGCTTGTTTGTTTAATTTTTTTTAAATAATCACTTTTACCAAATTTTTAAGTGTTTGTTTAAATAAAAATAATCAGAATATTAAAAAAATAAATATATGATTATTTGAAAAAACTAATCAGGACATGCGATGGAAGTGAGAGAAGAAGGTAGAAACGCGTCTATTTTTGCATAGGCTAACGTTGAACCTTATCAATATTCTGTCTTCCTCTGTGTTTCGTTTTTCTCGTCAGTCACTCTGTATCTCATATATTATTCGCTTGTGTGTATTTAAAAACTCTACAAATTACAAAATTTCCATTGCTGGAAGTCTTGGGGCTATGTATCTGCCATCCTAGTTAACTTGCTGTTCATTTCTCTTCTTCTTCTTCTTCTTCTTTTTTTATTTCCTTCTTCTTCTTTTTTTGTGTCTTTAACGTGTGGCTATTTTTTTTATTTTTTTTAAATGTCAAAATGAGTGAATGACACCAGAAATAGATGAGAAGTTTTGAGGGAGGTGAAAGAAATAAAGAAAAATGAGATATTAAAAAAACTAAAATATATTTAAAAATATTTGTTTGAGAGATAGAATAAATCAAATACATATTTCAGTAACGATGGGTGGATGAATCTCATAAAAAAAAAAAAGCAATTTTTTATGAATTTAACCAAACACAAAATAATTGCTGATTTTTTTTTCAAAATCTCCAGAAAATAATTTTTTTTAAAAATCTCTAAACTATATAAAAAATATTTATTTTTTAATGTTAAACAAATTGGTCCTTAATGAGATAACTATCATTTCTTGATTCCAACAATAACTAAAAGTATCTTATAATAAGGATAGAAAGAAGTAATATACTCTCCTAGTCCTATCTATAGGGTAAAAAAAATGATTAATTTTAATCATATTTATAAAAAATTTCACTATTTTCTACCCTTATAAAATACAAGGAAAAAATTATTACAAATAGCTCTTTTTGTCTTTATTTGAGAATATAAGTAAAAACTTATTAAATTTTAAGATATAATTAACGAAGTTTAAGATTTTTTTTAATTTGGATGAAACATGCTATAAGTAATTTATAAATAAGATCGAAGAAAGTATAAGAAAATAAAAGGACTAATAAACTTAAGTTTTGAAATTTTGAATTAAGATTTAATGTCATTTTACAGCACGTCATCTATTTATTTTCTCTTCTAATTTATTGGCTTTGATCCTTATTCTTGACTCCAAGTAGAATAGCCCTTCCAAAAGAAAGTCTTTTATTTTCATATGAGCTCTAACTTGAGAATTTTTGTTTAAGTGATGATAATTACTTTCATTATAACTAAGGTTAAGCAATCGGCCTCACAAGCACGAGATCAACGCAGTAACAAATTTGGAGTATTTTCGGGTCAAATCCAGATGAAAATAGTGATATTTGTTATTTAAGAAAACAAATAAAGATTTATGAAAAATATTTAATAATTAAATAAATCAAATAAACAAGAAAATCAGCAAAATCACGAACCAACCAATCATATGGGTGTCAAGGGTCATGATTCACCTATCAAGATAGACTGTCCTAATTTAGTTAATTATTTTCTTTTTTAGAGTGACAATCATTTTTAAAATATCCTAATTACTTTTTAATATATCAAGATTATATTTAATTAGAATTAAATCTAGCTCTCACTAAATTCTATTCTCTAACTAAATCATGAAGCTATGATTTAAGTCTCCACAAACTCCTAAATTATTTCTAGTCTAATTATTTGTGCATATCTTTCTATGTTCAGGTAAGTTCTTTATTTTTTAGTTCATCAAATCACCCACAAACAAATCATATGCTGGCCACATATATAAAATGTAATTAAAATAAGAGAGATAAATATAAAAGAAAAAATAAATTTCATAGACAAAATTTAATATTCAATAAAAAAATAATTAAAACTAAATAAAGAATAAAATACATTTTAATTAGGCAACTCTCTACTTTGAGTTAGACAGAGAAAGCTTCTAATTTAAAAGACTCTTTTAAATTTTACAATATGTCTCTTAACTTTTAGATTTGAGATTAAATATATTGAGAAGCTTTTGAGAGACTTATTTATAATAAATTTAATCGCTATAGGTTTATAATCTGTCTAAATCACACGTTATCTTATTTGATATTATGATATCTGATTTGAAATATTTTAAAATATTTAAATGATATTTTTTCCGTTTTTCCTCTCGTCCACACGCGGTCATGTTGAGCGCACTCTTATCCACGTGCGGACAAAAGGCAACGTGTCCCTTTCCAGTTGTGTTTCATCTACGCGTGGATGAATTTCTTCTTGGTATGACCGCACGCGAACACAAGTAAGAGCAAGAGTTCTACTTTAGTTCTTGCTCCTCCACCTGTGGTTGAGCCTTTAGGTGCTTCATTCGCCGCTGGTCGAAGGTTTTCGGACCTTTTTCATGTTATTTTATCTCTCTTTTTTTAAATATACCAAAATCTTTATATCAGATATTTTATCTTATTTAATCTTTAATTCATACATTAAATAGTTAATATAAGAATAAAAATTATATATAAATATGCATAAAATATCCTTTTATCATTAAAATATAAATCTACGTTTGAAATTTTCACGATATCAAGTTATTTTTTGGTTCAATTTTATTCTAATATTTTTTTGAATTTGGTATAATGTCCCCCCAACGTAACAATTTGACCATTTTGATCGAAATGGCTTGCCCATATGCCATCACATCATTTTTTTTTCTTTTGAAATAAAATTCTAATTACATAGAAAACAGATACAGACACAGTGACATGGTTTGGCTATGTCCACGTTGTGTTTTCCTCCCTCCCCTTCAACTCGATTCCAAAAAAAAAAAAAAAAAAAACCTCACCGCCGGCATTAATCTGAATCTCAGCCCAGTTTATAGGGGGAAAAAAAATAGCACAAAAAAAAATAGAAAATCATATCTGAATCATACAAGCCATTTTAGGTTTTCCATTAACAAATATTCCCCTCACTTCTACAAAAAATCCTCTTGTCGATTTACCCAAACAAAAAACAAGAGCAAGAGAGAGACTGTTATTCTAAAACTAATATAACGACCCATGAATTGATGCAGGAGAAGGGGTGTTATG